GGATCTGAAGCTCCCATGCAAAAATGTTAGGTTAAACCCCATTGTTCAAAACCCTCCCCAACTGCCCATTCCATAGGAACCAATCCAGAGATATGAAGGTGTTGTGAGAACTCTGGATGGAGGACACTATAAGATCTTCCCAGGCGTCGGGTCCTTGATGATGCAAAGTAGATGTCCTCAGGCTCTTCCCACTCCCTCCCATTCCCCAGGAAGGTACATCAAAGCAAAGAGAAACAAAGTAAACAAAGCAAAGTACATCACAAGAGGTCCCCCCTCCCATCCGAATAGCAGCATCTTGACAAGGTTCTAAAGGGACATGACAAATACTTTGATATAAGCTTTAGAGAAAGAGGCTAAAATATACTTTATAATTGCTGTTAAGAACAGAACTCTTTTTCTTTTTCACATTTCCATTAATTTTTCTATTATCTTTAAGTTAAAATTTGTATTGTCCCAAATGTGCATTTTCCAAAAGGCAAATGGCCTTTCTTTCATGGTTTTTTCCCCTATAAAATTGTTTCACTTCTCATCCAAGAAAACCAACACATCCCCCCCAAAAAAACCCAAGAAAGCAAAACTTTTTCAAAGAAAAATCCAAGAAAGTCAAGTTGCTTTTTGGAAAAAGCACCTTTGGGATCTGGATGATTAAGAATCTCCATAGACATAAAATTTGTATTAATGCTAAAAATGCGAATCCTGGGCATTATGTTAACCAAATAAGAAAGAAAAAACAAACACCAGGATATAATAAACCAGACTGTTTAATATAAACAAGCCTGTGGTTAAAAAGAGTCACTAAGCTTTCATCAGGCCAAACTGCTAACATCATCAGAATTGGAGTAAAAGGAGATCAGGAAGGCAGCTCATATAACCTCCTGCTTCTGCGCCCGGCTCCTTGAGTGCATCATCGGCCCGTTGATTGTATTAATCCGTACTGCGCAGAGTTGTTCCGCATCAGGTAAACTGTCCTTGGCTCCGCTAGTTGTTTTATGATCCTCAAGTTCTCTTTTAGAGCGTATGCAAGCACTTGGAGGGCGGCTGTCAACCCGTCCCTGCGCCCAGTCTCCCTCCCTCCCAGGGCCATTATCCTCCCCCACCCCCAAGGCCGTTGTCGTCTCACCCGTAATTCCTCCGCCCCAGTCCTGCAAAAAGCAGCTGTTCTGGCATTCCTGCTCTCCGTCTTCCCCCTCCCTCCCCCTCCTTCCAGATCGCCTCTGCGCGTCGTCCCCGGCTTAGGGCCGTTTGGTCCATCATCTCGGCCCATGGGAGCCCATGCCTACAGACAAGGATTCACAAACATGTCTGACCAGCATTCCATTAACTGACATGTCAATCTGTTACCGGCATTTCAAGCGCTAAGACATCATGAGCAAACGCGCAGGGGGCCAGAAAGGGCAAATCGACAACCACCCTCCGCCCGTGCAATCACTCAGAGTGAAAAGGGGATAGATCCTGACTACACATGAATTGATATACCCATGCAGCTGGAAGCCATGACGATTGAGGAGAAGGGAGAGCGGACCAGACCAGCTGCGAGACTGATAATGAGACAGCAGACTGTTGCGATTGGCACGGTGAATGTAGCCAGGAGGCTGCTGGTTGAAGCAGGTGCGCGATATATTGGCAGCGTGTCGGACTGTGATGGTGGGGAGAGTGACTGTGCGGGGATATCGGATGGCCTGGCATCATATGATGGTGCATTCGGGCGGCAAGGCAAGAGGCGGGAGGCGGGGTGGCGAGAGCGGGGCAGATGCCAGCCAATGCAACCAAATTGAGATCAACCAAATTGAGATCAATACATTCACTCACATGTGAGCGGCGGACTGACGGACCTATTACACGCTCAATGGCCAAATTACGACACTTAAAAGGCTATAAAAACAAAGCCTTCCCAATGTTAGCTTATATTTTGACAATGTTAGCAGTGGCTAACGAAAGCTTAGTGCTTAATAAAACTTTCTGTCCCGGAGATCAGTGGGTTAGCATGCCTCTTTTACAGAAAGAAAGAAAGAAAGAAAGAAAGAAAGAAAGAAAGAAAGAAAGAAAGAAAGAAAGAAAGAAAGAAAGAAAGAAAGAAAGAAAGAAAGAAAGAAAGAAAGAAAGAAAGAAAGAGGGAGGGAGGGAGGGAGGGAGGGATTGGGGTTCAAATGGTGCCTATCTTACCAGTAGGGGTTCTTGGGCAAAGATTCCCTAACGCTTCACCTGCCTACCTCAAATACAACATGAACTAGGAAAGTCATACTGGCTCAGCTGTCCACCAGCTTAACAAGCTTCATGTCAGATGGACCAGGAGAATCTGATAAGTGGGCTGCCAGAAGAAACCATATATGTATAAGACAAGAGAATACTAGTACAATAATTGATATAATGAGACAGGATATATGAAATGTATGACAGAACTATGGATAGATGTATGGAAGAATTACATCCACACTGAGAACAGCAAACCCAAGCAGAATTTTCATTCCCTATGTTGAGAAACAGCATAGTAAGGTAAGAAGTGCAGGGAGCCTCGGGATGGGGGGAGGAAGTCCTGGGAGGCCCGGTGCAGGCCACACATGAGTTTATGTCTGCTCGGGGGCAGACAATCCTGCTTGGATATCAGTAGGGAAGATTTTCAGCTCCTAAGCAAAGAGGCAGAACGATAAGAAGCATGAGGTGCCTCAAGTGATGGAAGGAGGCCCAAGGAGAACCAGCAAAGGTCGCACATGAGTGTCTCTCTGCTCAAGGATTAAAAATCCTGCTTGGATTTCAGCAAGCAGAATTTTCAGCTCCTGAGTGAAGAGATATTCACATGTGGCCTGTGCCGGGCTCCCAAGGTCTCCCCCACTCTCAAGGCACTCTGCACTCCTCATCTACTGTACTATCTCTCCACTTAGAGAGTGAAAATCCACAAGATCAGTTAACGACTGCAACCAGGAATGCTAGGGTTGTGATAGTTGAGCAAAGCAGTCATGTGACATTTCATTTAGCAACCATTTTGTTCAACAACTCAGATTCCAGTTCCAATATGGCTGTAAATCAAGAACTACTTGTAACTAATAAAGAGTCTGAAAGGAAAGAAAAAACTATTACATTTCAGCACAAGATAAAAATGTTAAATGTCTTCATGTTATCTTATCTAAAGAGCCATTACACAGAAGACATAGCAAGAAACAATGAGTTTAATTTACAAGAAAGTACATTTCTGGTAAACATCAGAAAATATTTCCTAACAATAAGAGCTGTTAAACAATAGAAATGTCTCAGCATATGATGGATACTCCATTGAAAATGTTTAAACAGGTTACATAGCCATCTGTCAAGAAGAGTGTAGTAAATTGAGTTTCTACATTGAGCATGGAGTTGAACTAAATGAGTTCCAAATTCCTTTCTAACTCCTGCATGATATGATTTTTATTATTAGAAAATATTGGCATTATAACCAAATAAAATAAAATGAACCAAATTTTTATTACAGGCATAGAGTAGCATAAGATAGCTGGGGTATATTCATTAAAGCAGAGGTCCTCAATCCTCTGGCTATGTCCCAATGCCGGGCCACAGCCCGTTGGAAACCGAACCGTGGAAGTGGTGGGCTGCATTTGTGAAAATGGCACACAGGTGCGAAACCATCTCCCCTTCCCCCCTTGCCTCCACCAACACCTTTGCCAGTGCACTGAGCTAGAAAGGTTGGGGACTATTGCATTAAAGCATAAAAATACATCAAGAGTAAAATTTACAAAATTTAAAAAATATCAAAAGGTAGATGATATAAAATGTATATAAATTGAAACCTAAATGTATATATAAAAAGCAAAAATCTAAACATCTGAAAGAAGGGGTAGGAACATTAGATGTATATAGGTTAATATGTGGAAGACTATATCAAGTAACAAACTATTCTAATATGATGAATTATGTGCTCATTAAGTCTAATTTATAACACAGGTCCTCATCCAACTAATTTTGAGAACCCAGTAACATTCTATGTAGCAAGTTTGGTATTTGAAAACAACAGGATGGTGTAAAACTGTCATTTGCAGCCTTGCTATTTATGTAGTAATGGTAAGATGAGACAAGTATGAATATCTCTGTAACACAGGCACAAGGAAAGCATACACTCTGTTATTTCTGTCTGTCCAGTTACAAAGCATTGTCTCTCTGAGAAAGAAATCTTCCTGCATTGACCTTCAAAGAAAGTGGAGGGGAGGGAAGGGAATGACATTCTACCAGAGTAAAGGCCCTTTGTTTAGGTACATCAAGTTTAGTTAGGCATACACAGGGGGAGCTGGTAATTGCTGGATTCTCTGAGATCCTAACTAGAACCATTTGGTGCTCCATGCCTACTACACATTATTTAATAAGATTTTTGGCTTGATCATAATCAATACTGAGTAGAAGTTCTCAGAGAAGTCCAAAGAAGAGATTTCAGTTGCCATTGGCTGCTTCCATGCATACTGAAAATCTTCACTCTTAAAGACAAAAGGCCAAAGGGGGGGGGGGGGAGTCTGAGCCAATAGTTGAATATAGTCATCCATTCCACCCTAAAATTCCATGAAACCTGTTTGTAGACAGAAGGCGGCAGTAGAGACACAATTAGAGATTTGAAGAGTTAATCTTAAAATTTTGCAGTATACAAATCCTAATGGTGCAAAATTGGAGAAAGGTTCTACTGGACACCTAAAATTGGAGAAAGGTTCTACTGGATAAAGAAGTTGCGTTATTGGCTTGAGTTCAATAATTTTGGAGCTGCCAGTATGTAGTGATGACTTCTTCCCTTAATATATTTAAGGATGACAAATGATCTCATCTGTGGATTTTCAACAATATGGTCTCCTTGGACCTTCCTACTGCCAGCAAAGTGAAGTATTTGAAACAGGAGATTTGCTTAATCTTATAGCCATCTATGCTCTAGAAATGGCTCTTGAGTTTCTAGAATAAGTAAGCTTATATAATAAAGCACCAAATAAAGTTTGGGTGATCATAGTACAACATATATTCGTATATCTTACCTTTGTTTAGCTGGATTTCTAAAAGTCTCCAAGTCACTCTGAGCAATTTGTTCAGCTGTTTACTGTTTAATTTACAGCCATCCTGAAGAGTTTCTATCACAAACTTTCTAATTAAGTCTAGCCAATGGGCATCTGTAGGCAATGTTGAAGTATTTGCTAGCGAGACCATGATTTCACATAAAGTTAAATTCAGCAAAAGATGATCAATATTGCTTGAAGATGTCATATAATACTTGTTGCTAAAAGAAAGACACACACAACAGACAGAATTTTTAAATAAAAAAGTATAATTTCTACAGCTTTAAGTTTAATAAATAATAAATATGTTTTCTGTGATGGAACAAGAACATGTAAAGCTGGGTTCTCTGCTCTAAACCACTTCAGCAAAGAGCCAAATTCGTTTAGTAAAACTAGGAATGAAAAAACTCCAATTTTAATAAAAAAAGATCCTAGAGATAATTTGAATAATAAAGAAAGACCCAGTGTCAGAACCCCTCAAATATTCATTTATCCCTTTCCCTTTATTTCTTTCCTGCTTTTGCTTATGTATTCATTTTGGGGGCCTGCCGTTCTGTTGTGCCATGCTTGTATGAAGGGGAAATGTGCTTTGCCTTGCTCTGCTCTGTATGGGGTGCCGTCCCTCTGGGTGAGAGGAATGTGATATGAAAACATCTGCCTTATCTCCAGACAATAGAGCCATTGGGAAACAAAACTGAGAGAGACCTTGAGAAGGGCGCTAAATCTCCAGCTTTTCATAACACTGTGGCACTTGTGAATTGGCTAGATTTCAACCGGACAGTTGGACACAGGGGGGAGCAATTCTGAATTGCCTTTTTGATGTAATCCTTTGCACGCCAAATCTTTAGATCTTGCTTTGCTTTCTAGCCATCACTAACGCTCAATAAAAATTCCTTATGAGATAATACCTGTTTCAAGAGTTCTGCTTTCTTGGGAGATCTAGCTGAGGCAGATCCTTACATAAAGCAAGGTCTGCAATAGTGCCCAACTCAAAGAGACATCTGCCCTACCAAGGGGGGCCACGTACAACATGTTTTTGCACAGCAGTGAAATGGGAGAAGCTGGGACCGTCCAGCAGTGAAATGGGAGAAGCTGGGACCGTCCAGATCTATCCCGGAGAAGGCACCTCCACCTGGCTATAGGAAGCTGCTGCTTTAGAAGAAACCTCGAGGCCGAGATGGTTGCTCTGTGTTGGGAAGAAAGAGAATTGGGAAGAAAGAACCCAAACTTTCACCCAAGGAGGTCAGAAGAACACTCGAAAGAAAAGAACGAAAATGCTTTCCGATGATGAGGAACCGGGTGGGCAGCCAAATTCCTGGGCTGCCCAGAAAAGGAGGAAGAATTAACCCAGAGCGTGAACACGGTGAAGGAGAAACCATAATCGCTGAGGTGGCAAGCGGGGCCACAGGTTCGACAGAGACAGTGGCAGCTACTCCGGCAGCACGACAGTGAGCAATCCCCTGGAAGGCTCGGACCCCACGTCCGCCCTGAGAGAGGACTCCCAGACGAGCCAAAGCTAGTTCCACTGGGAATTAAATTCGATGGGGACCTTCAACAGCTGGGTTTTTTTCTGGCTCACTTCCTCACATACATGCAAGTGTATAGAAGGTCTCTATCCAATGATGCAGCTAAGATCAAGGTTGTCACCCTCGCCCTCGAAGGAACTGCTGCCAGATGGATGGTAACCTTATATAACTGCAACACTCCCGAGCTCTGAAATTTTAATGGTTCATGACCGCACAGAGACACCGATTTGAAGATCGCCTGGCAGACCGGAAAGTTCGGGATCGAATAAAAACAATAAAACAGGGACAATGACCGGTACCAAATACACAGAGGAGTTTTGTGACTTGGCTACCTCAACTGGCCCAAAGACATCCTGATAAGCTGTTTCCAAGACGGGCTAAACAACGACCTGTATGCTTGTGTGGCACAGGGAGTACCAGCACGCCTTTATGAATGGTGTGTCCTGGCTTGAAGAAGTGGAAATCGACCAAACCTGCAACCTGTATCATCCTACAAAATCCAGAGGATGGAGCCAGCTGGACAAGAGAGGCCAGCATAACCTCTGCAAACCAACCATGTTCCACTGCCTGTTTCAAGTGCGGCAAAGAAGGGCATCGGGCTGTGGAAGGTTGCAGCAAGACTTCGGCTAGGAAACCAGATCGACCCTTTGGGGAGACAAGCCAAGCAAATATACCCAGTGCTCGAAAGACACCACCAAGGTCATGGAGCTCCCCCGAGCTCCAAAGGCAGACAGCAAAGCTCCAGCCCCACCGGATGATGAGTGGGGATGTCGGAGAGCGATTATGATAACGACCCATTAGTAAGTGGGCCGATCGACCCCATAACTCTGCCCAGGCATGGGCAGAAGAAGGCCCCCTAACTGCACTGTGCACCTAGTACTTAATCAGCCCCAGCCTAGTTGGGAAAATGGGGGTTCCCTAAGGAAACTCAAAAACCCCATCGCCTTTTGTCAGCTTGATGGGCCCATGGCAGGGGGGATCCCAGCAAGCTTTGTCACCAAACTCCTGGGACTCGCCATGGGATGCCATTCAGAGACTTTAGCCTTCATTGTGGCTCCCAATATGGAATGGTCCCTTGTCCTTGGGCTAACCTGGTTAAAGAAATGGAACCCCCTAATTGACTAGAGAGAGGGGCAGCTAAGGTTCCCAAAGAAGAGAGCTCCTTCCCAGGAGTTGCTTGATAATAGAGCAGAGGGTCCAAAGAAAGAATTAGCCTCTGCGCTGAGTGAACAAGAACTTCAGAGCATTCCAAGAGAGCAGTGCGATTTAGCTGAGGTTTTCAGAGAAAAGTGGTCGGATGAGCTTCCCCCTCAATGACCAAACAACTGTGCTATTGAGATCACCCCGGGAGCTAAGTTACCTAAACAGAAACTCTATTCAATGACTCCTAGAAAACTAGATGAGCTGCGCAAATTCATTGACAAGAATTTAACCGGGATTCATCCACCGGCCAGATCTCGGGTGGCAGCCCGTTCTATTCAGAGAGAAGAAGAATGGTTCTCTTCGTCTCTGCATGGATTATAGGAGGTTAAATGCAGTATCCGTGGCAAATGTGTAACCCTGTCCCTCATGAGGGACATGCGAGCTCACCTAGCAAAAGGAAAAATCTTCTCAAAGTTAGACCTACGCGAAGTGTATTATCACATCAGGATTAAGGAGGGGGATGAATGGAAAACTGCTTTCAACTTCCCCCTAGGATGCTTCCAATTCAGTGTACTCCCCTTCGGGCTACAGGGAGCCCCAGAAGTATTCATGCAACTAAGCAATGAAGTCCTCCATGAGCACCTGTATAAGGGGGTTTTGGAGTATTTGGACGATATCTTAATTTAAACCGAAACAAAAGCTGAACATTTAAAATTAGTTTAGGGTGGTCCTAAAGAAACTCCATGTTGCCAAACTGTATGCCAAGCTCTCGAAGTGTGAATCCCATAAAGATAGAATTGATTACTTGGGCTAGCGCATCTCGCACAAGGGGGTGGAGATGGACCCATGACAGCCCAAGTGTGGGCTGTCATGGGGTGGACTCTTCCCTGCATCAGGAAGCAGTTACAGATCTTTCTGGGGTTCGCTAACTTTTACCGGCAATTTATCCCCTCGTTTGCTCAAATTGCACTCCCTATCACAAACTAACTGAAGACTAAGGGAGAGGGTAAGCCGAAGCCTACCCAGCCATTAAAATGGACAGCAGAATGTCAAGCCGCGTTCGAGAAACTTAAGAGACTTTTTTCCATGGAACCGGTGCTGAAACACCTGGACCCGGAACAGTTGTTTATGATTCAGGCAGATGCCAGCGATATGGCAGTGGGGGTGGTGTTACTGCAGAAAAACCAACAGGATCAGTTACAACCCTGCGCCTACACATCCAAGAAACTGTCTGAGACTGAACAACGGTAGGTGGCTTGGGAGAAGGAAGCATATGCAGTGAGATAGGCCCCCTTAACCTGGAGACATTTCCTAGAGGGGAGTAAAATCCCTTTCCAGGTCTGTGCTGATCATAAGAACCTTGAAGCTTTAAAAAACCCCAGGTGGCTGTCTCTGAAAGAGGCACACTGGGCCCAGCACTTCCATCATTTTAACTTCTCCATCCAATAATGCAAGGGGGGGGAAACTTCCTGGCAGATGCTTTGTCAAGAATGCCACAATATAAAAAGTGTGAAGGCGGAGGTGGTTAAACCTCTCTTTTCCCCACAGCAACTGGCAGCCCCAGTCACTATGAGGGCACAGGTTAAGAAAACCCTGTCATTAGACAATGTGGTGGTTGACGATTTCAAGAAGGTATTGGAAAAGGACAAGTGGTTTGGAGGACATAAAAATCTCTGCTCAATGAAAGATGGTTTGGCTTGGGTTGGGGGGAAGCTGTATGTGCCTGCAAGTCAAGAGGCTGAGAATCATGCAGGCCTGTCATGATTCAAAAATAGCTGGACACTTTGGGTTTGTAAAGACTCTTCACCTGCCTAAGCAGCAATTTTGGTGGCCATCCTTAAAGAAGGACATTGAAAGCTATGTGGCCAGCTATCTGATTTATGCTGCTGCCAAACAGAGGCAGGGAAAAACGCCCGGCTTCCTGCAGCCGGTAGCGAGCCCTTCAGTGCCCTGGAGAGATCTCTCCATGAATTTTATTTTGGAGCTACCCAAAAGTGCGGGAAACACTGTCATTTGGATTGTCACTGATTTGTTTTCTAAAGCCCATTTTATCCCATGTCAGAAGATCCCTACTGCAAAAACTTTGGCTAAGTTGTTTGTACAACATATTCACGTGATCTTGATTCTATCCATCTGTTAATGCAGCCTAGCACTGTGTTGGCTTTTTTGGCAGCTGCAGCACACTGCTGGCTCATATTTAAATGATTGTCCACTACGACTCCGAGATCCCTCTCACAGTTACTACTATTGAGCAAGGTACCCCCTATACTATACCTGTACATTTGGTTTTTCTTGCCTAAATGTAGAACCTTACTTTTTTCAACATTGAATTTCATTTTGTTAGATAGCGCCCAGTGTTCAAGTCTGTCCAGATCCTCCTGTATCTTAAGCCTATCTTCTGGAGTGTTGGCTATTCCTGCCAGCTTGGTGTCGTCTGCAAATTTGATGAGTTCCCCATCTATCCCCTTGTCCAAATCGTTGATGAAGATGTTGAAGAGCACTGGGCCCAGAACAGAGCCCTGGGGCACCCCACTACACACTTCATTCCATGT